AAAAAGACCAGTGTTCAGTGGAAAATGAGCAAAAGACAAGACAAAGCAATAGAAGAAATGCAAAGGACTAATAAACATAGGGAAAAGTGTTATCAACACTTGTTATTAAGAAAGTGAAGACTGCTCTGGCTGGTGTAGCTCAGTGGACTGAGCACAGGCCTGTGAAGCAAAGGGTTGCCGGTTTGATTCCCAGTCAGGGCACATGCCTGGATTGAGGGCCAGGTCCCCAATAGGGGACACATGTGAGGCAACCACACACTGATGTTTCTCTTCCACTCTTTCTCTTTCCTGTCCCCTCTCTCTAAAAATAAATAAATAAAATATTATTAAAAAAGGAAGTAAAGACTAAAATAGTGAAATACCATTTTTGGCTATGACATTGTTAGGATAACAGCTATATAAAAATATATGTATACTAGTAATATTGGAGGAGGACACATCAAAGGTTAAGTGGGTATGGAGGTTTCATAATTTTTTTCTTTATACTTTGTTTTCTAAATTTTCCCAATGAATCTGCATAAATTAAAAAAAAACAATATATTCATTTATTTTAAGAAATGGAGCCTCTAATGAAAAACAACTTTCCCTGCCCAGCCAATTCACCCCTAGATGCAACTTTCAGCTCTTCTCATTGATTCTTTGGGTATTCACCTCCATATTTCTAAATATTATGTATGTATTGTTATCTGCAAATTTATCAATTTCTGTACTTCTTGACTTCCTGTTAATACGTAGTTGTAGATTCAACTCTATCACCACCATCCTCTGCCTTCCTCTCCCTATACATTCTTATCATTTTAAAGTCAATAGATGTTTTAATAATTATAAGTATGTAATAATGTTACCTTCTGAATAACATATCCTTTCTTGTATAGTTTTCTTTTACATGGAGTTAATAATTTAATAATTGTCTTTTTATTTGTATCACTTTCTATGTACCTGGTGACATTTTCTAAATTCTCCATTTGTCAAATGTTTACAATTTTTCTAATGCTCCATCACAGTAATTAATAGATCATTTCCATTCCCCTCCTTCCCCCATCTCTCTCTCTCTCGCACCCCTCCCAACTATTAACTCTTGTCTGGACTGGCTGTTCTCTGGCCGTGGCTCAGTTGTATCTTAGAACTTCCCTTTACTGCACCCCTGGGTTGAATTTCTTCCTTCCTGGATTTCACTTTCTTCCTCTTTTGTTCATGCCCTTTCTGGAGAAGTATATCCATCAGTAGTTTCCTAAGAGGAAGTGCCTGGGAATGAAGTTGGTTCTCCCCGCCCCTTAGCTCTTGCTGTATGAAACTATATTTATTCCATTCTCACACTTGATTAACTGGGTACAGTCTGTTCTCACACTTGATTGCAAGGCTATATAGCCTGTACTGAATTCCAAATAAAAATCACTTACCCTCAGAATACGGATGAGATTGCTTTACTATTCTCCTGTATTCTGTTGGAAAGCTTGGTACCTCTAGGCTTCTTGGGTTAACAGGTTTGTCCCTGTGTGACATTTTTCTCTTTTGTTAAAGATCTTTGATATGCTGTTTATCCTGCAATTATAGTCTGCAATTTCACAACTTGGAATTAGTATTGGCTGGCCTTTTTGATTTTACTAAACGGTATTGTATTGATTCTTTAATCATTTCCACTCCTCTGTTTCTCTTTCTGGAACTCTTACCAATCAGTGGAGGTAGGGATAACCATGTGGGTGGGTCAAGTAGCTCCAGATACAGGGTGTGGAGTCTAGGAATGGAACAGAATGTACTATGACTGTCTACTCACAGATAAATAAATACCTTGACAGTCAGAGCTCACTGTGCAACACAGTGACCTCTCTAGTTATTTTAAATAGAAAGATATTTAAGTGCTGGCAACATTTCTGCAAGGGATAGGTGGGCAGACTCTACAGTGAATATGCAGGAATAAGTTCAAGAAAAATCAATGACCAAACTGGCCATTGTGGGTGGGGAGGGGCTGTCACCTCTGCCACAGTGAGGAATGTTGGGAATGAGAAGCCTCTGATTGGGAATGGTTCAGTACAAGAATACACTAAGACAACAGTAGCCCAGGAATCGGGAGTGGTGGATGTCACTACCACAATGCCTCGTTGACCCCACAGGGCTGGAGTGCTGCTGCAGATAAAATCAAGCCTCCGCCAGGGTCCCAGCCAACCATGCAACCATGCACCCAGCTGGCAGCAGTAATAGCTCCTTTCGAACCTCAACCAGTGCATGTAACATTGGCAGAACTTCACTTGCACTCAGAACCCTCACTAGAGGGTTTGAACTATTTACTACTGTAAATAGTTCTTGGCATTCCAACCCCTATGGAACAGAAGAACTCCCCAGAAAACTGGAATAGAGGACAAGGGCTTAGTCAACACAACAACCATAGTACATCTGTGCACAAGGGCAGTGATCTGTGTGCCAGTGGTGCATCTGCAAGAGGGTTGAGATGCTGTGATGAGAGCCACAATCAGAGGAGGTCAGAATCAATCAGCTGGGAAAGCACTAAGGTCTGACATGAGTCAAACATTTTCTGTTTTTTTGTAGAGGGGGACACTTCATTTGTGTAATTTGTACCTAGCCTCATTTGACAAAAGGGTTGGAGGGAGAGAGAAGAAGTATGTGTTGGTAGAGAAGGGCAGGGGACATCGTAGTCAGCATTAACCTATGTAAAGCTGTGAAACAAAAAGATGTGGTTGTTATGCCAGGTTGAAACATTTGCTGTGTAGGCATGGATGATGGTAGAAAGCCGTGACTCAAAAAATCAAGGGTTCGGATTTGATATGAGACAATCCACTCAGAAGTCCTGACATTTCTGACCAGCAGCATGAAAATGAGAGAACTACCCAAACAAAAGCTTGTGTAACCTTTCCAAAAATAAGGGACCTACCTGGGTCATTGACTGAGGAATGAGACAAAATATGAAGCTCTACTAACAAATCAAATAATCCAAATTTTATATGCCTTTAAAGGTGTAAATACCAGTCTGAATATAGTGACCTCCTGTGCTAAAGAATCTATAATTTTTAAGATAATGGTTACACTCCACAGTCTATAACCTCTCAGTTTATAAATCCAGATTTTTCCAAAGGAGGTACTTAAAAACAATCCTGCAAAGACATTTTCCAAGTTTTTTCCTTGTAGGTGTTTTCGGCTTCCAATGTTCTCTTCTAAGTTGCTTCTGAAAGCTCCTTTGATTTTGATCTCCTTCTCTCTTCTGCATCAACAATAACTCCCTTCTCAATCTGTCCATGACTCCTTTTTACCAGCCACAGCTCATCAGAAGTTCTTGCAGCTTCACGGCTTCAGACAGGACTCCGCTTGCTAAGACCACGCTAGAAATACACAGGCTAAATATACCTAAACCATATCTTAAAGAATATAGGATGTTAGAATTTTAAGCAACTTTCATATAACTAATCTTCATATTCATTAACCAAGGCTATATAGAAAGCATACAAGTAAATTATAGGCCAATTAAATAATGACAGAAGATGATTTGACTTTGGGTGGTGGGCACACAATGCAATATACAGACCATGTATCATAGAAATGTACAACTGAAACCTGTATGACCCTATGAATCAATTCACCCCAATAAATTTAATAAAATTATAAGAAAAAAATAGGCTTAAATGCCCAATCTTTATGGAAACATTCTTCAAGTGAGTGGGAATAGACATCTAACATGTTTCAGGGATTATTCAGGGATTATTTAATCCCTTATTATTTAATAAGGGATTAACTTATTTTTACAGTTCTATATTTATATGATTTATATTTCTATAGTATGCCCCAGTAAGATTCTCAACTAGTAGTTTTCTTAGATGATGGTAGTGAATAAGTAACACTTGTGTATATCCAAAATCTTTCAAACACCATCTTGAGAATTCCGTAGAAGTATAAATCTCAGCCTCCACGACATCTGACTTTAGGGTCCACCAATCAGATACATCAACATATGACAGTGATGCAGAAGCGGGTCAGGTGACAGGAGAGGGAGCTACTGAGACTTCATTTTGCCTGCAAGCAGCAGCAGTCAACAGGGTCTGGGGCTGGTGGTGGCGGCTGCAGGTTGCTGCCTGCAGAGGTGTAGTTCATCAGTTTCAGGCAGCAGCCCCCTTCTTCTCCAGCCAGCACTCCTGTGTGGTTCTTAAACTGGGTCCTGGAGACTCAGCCTGTTCTGTTAGCCCTTCCAAAGAGTCTGTATTTAGTACCTCCCCTCCTACTTAAATCAGCTCAGCAATTCTTGGAAGTGTGTGGTTCAAGGACCCTGGGATCTCTGAGACCCTTTCAAGTGGTCTGCAAGATCCTCCCTCTTCAACTACATATCTGTGTGAAGCCAGCTTTTCTTGATTATACATCCATCAAAACAGTATCACAACAGATTGAATGCAGAAGGTAATATGAGAATACAGCTGCCTTCTATTAAGTTAGACATTAAAAGAGCACTGTACTCTTCTTAACTGCTTTTTTTGGGGGGAAATTTCAGTTATTTTTCAAAAGAATACTATCTCATGTTAGTATGTAATAATTTATTTTTTGGGTTATTTTTAAATGAATTAAATATTTTAAAGACTGCTCAGTTTGCAGTCATAATACAGTGAATATCAATAAATATAACATAAGCAAAAGTTCTTTGGTGTCCTAAACAATTTAGGGGCCTCAAAAAATTTTAATATATACAAGTATAAAAGGACCCTAAGGTGGAAAAGTTAATAGCCACTGAAATAGATTCTGTCAGCTTTATCTAAAAACCCTAAATAGAGAAGGCTCTAGTTTTAATTCTCCACTGAAGTCTGAGTGAGTGTAAGAGAGAAGCTGGTTTAGGTAGCATATATGACATCGCCCCCAAAAGAAGAAAAATGAGAGGGAGATGTAGAAAGCAGCACATGTTAGAACCAAGGCCAAAGTCTACAGGAGTGTCAGGAAGAGACATCTGTTTCTACAAACAAAAGATCTTGTCAGAAAACTTAGAACAAAGTACCCAGAGGACACAGAACTGATACTGAATATTTACTAATCACAAATATTTCTTAATATTCACACATCCTCCTATTCATGAATTGTACATTATTTATACTTCATTCATAGTAGCAAGTCACAGCTTAGAAAATTCAGAGACGGCTTTAGTTCCAGTGTTTGTACAGAGGGGTGCCCACCAAAAATGCTCTTCTTGGCTTGAGGAATCTTTATTATGTCCAGGAATTTTAATTATATCACTTTGCTTGCTCCGTATTTCCTTCTTGGTCAATCTGATCACAATATATAAATATTTAACTTGATTCATAAGTATCTTACAGAGTCAGTTTAGATTTAAAAAGGTGAATACCAGGACTCTAGTATTAAAAACCCAGAAAGTGATAATGGCCTCATCAAACCTGGAAAGGCTCCTTTGGTTTGTTTGGGGTGAAGGAGAGGCACTTGCACTCCATTTGGTCTTCTCCAGCTGTCTTTTGGGACCGTTCACATGTGTACATCAAACCCACCGGGCTCTATGCTGGAATGACAAGGGCTCTGTTTTATTTATCACATCTTCTGAAAAATCTGTAAATTGTTCTTCTAAACTTACCCAAATTAGTGTGAATTTTCTAAGAAACAAATGCTGAAATGGGATTAAAAGAGAAAAAGATTTATTGTGAACCCTTGTGAATTATAAAGGGAAGGAGTAGGCAGAGCCTAACACCTGTGAAGGGGAGGGGGCAGGGCAGGACTGGGCAGGAAGAGTCTCAGACAGCAGCACAGTCTGAAGAACATTCCGGGGAGGCTAATGAGGAGTCCTTGGACCAAAGCCACCCATCAGGGGAGTTGGCCATCATATTCATTCATTGTAGTCCCTCCATACTCATTCATTTATCAGCTAGAAAGAGCAGGAAGCATGACCTCAGCAGAGACACACTAGTGGATCAATGGGGCAGCAGCTGGGGTTCTCAGTCAATGCTACGTCCCACAGGTGTGGATTTGAATGATGCATTTCCATTGCCACCAGATCACCTTTTGTAAGTCTTCAGGCTTTTCTGTTAATGTTTGGTGGTCATAGAAACCATAAATGTTTTCACACCACCAAATTTTACCTAGATATTTCATGCTGTCATGAATCATCTTACTATTAACAGAGATTAAGGATTCTATTATGTTAATACAACACTTCAGTTACATCTATTATGTTACATCTATTATGTTAGTTTTTGAAGTACATAAATTGTCTTTTCTGTCACACACCACAATGATTAGTGTGAAATCCAAGGGAAACTAGGCGATACAACATAATTTAACACAATATTTCTGAAATGTTAACTCAGTAAATGCCTTTACTAATTTGGGCTAATTGAAGGTTAATTATAGCATGATTTATATGAATGTGGTTATTGCTTAGCAGCATGCACAGTAACTGAGATTAGAGAACAAATGTTGACTAAGAGAGAGAATGGTATAAAGATGAAATGACTAGTGCAAATTACCATAGTAGTTAGTTTCTGGGGCAAATACACTTCTAAAAAAGTTAATTTTCTTAAACAAGTCTCCCTCCAATCTTCTCATTAAATTTATAATACATATCACACAATTATCAGCCACTACCTCCTGTCTTCGGTAGGCTTTGCAAACCCTTTCTTCCAAATTTAAGTGTAGCCTGAGGGCTAAAGGCCCAATCTCTCTGGCTGAGTGAGGCCACGGGACAGTGAAAAATCCCTTAAGGGAGGTGCAATCGCTCTTCTCTTCCCTTCATTCCACATCTGTAAACTGGACTTGACTTTCCTGACCCAGCTAGTTATCCAACGTCCACAGAGGTAGGAGGAACTACTGAGTTATCAAAATTGACTAAGTGGGTGGGGGCAAGGAGGCGGTGGGAGAATGCAGACAACCGTAATTGAACAATACAGTAATTAAAAAAAAAACTAAGCTCATCCATTCTAGGCCCTACTTTCCTCATATTTGCCCTCTGTACGTGAATTTTATGTTTCACAAACTATCTACTTCAGTTCCAGTTACCTATGCAAATAATCACTAATTTTCCAACCAATGGCTTTTTAATGTTATAGTTACACAAAACAATTTCAATTAAAGTATTTCAAATTTTGATTTCTTAACCTGTTAACCGAAGAAGCCTAGAGACTTGGAAAAATACATTGGTGATTTAAGACTAGCTAACACTTACTAAGAGATGTGTACTAAATACCTGTGCTAAATGGTTTCGTTACAGGTATTTATTCATTAAATCTTCTCAACTGCCCTGTGAGGTGGAACTAGTATTATCTCCAACTTACACGTAAGGATATTGTAGCATAGAGAAGTTAAATAACTCACTCAAGGTCACACAGCTAGTAGGTAGTAGAGCAAGGATTTGTGCCCAAGTAATCTGGCTCCAAGCTGAAGACTTGTTACTGTGGTCTTCTGAAATACAATGCACTACTTAACTTGCATTTAAAAAGCCAATCTTACCTAACACAAGGCAATACATTTTTTAAAAGTTGCTTTATTTACATTTGTATTTTATGAGCAACTGGTTAATTTAAACTAAAACATGATGAAAGATGTTTACAGTTCTAATCATCACTTATAACCCTAATACCTTTACATTAAAATTGATGTGCAAATATGGAAATATTTTTCCTTTCCTCATTTACAGCAGCGTATTTTCTTCCAAATCCATCATATATACTTTTAAACACATTATAAAAATTAGATGATTAAAGGATATGCAGAAATAAAATAGTCAGCAATAAGTTAATTAAGATGTGTGTATTCAGAAAAAGATACTGAAGTTAAAGAATATGTGGCTTAAAAATCAATACAGCGTCCTTTTCGTTCCCAATCTCCATATCGGGTAGGTTCTGGGCCCCTGGGTCCACCTTTTTCTTTGGTAACAGGATTAACATCATCTGGAAACTCTAAAAAAAGATGTGGACAAAGCAGAGACAGGAAAATCGTTATGGTCCATTTTGAAGATGCAGAGGTACACGGGAGGCTAGAGTACTGAGAGGGTTGCCATAGAGTCTTGAAATGTGAGTAGTGTCACCGTACTTACTTGTTAGTGGCTCTTTCTCTAAATAGGTATCTTCTGGTGCATCAAAACGACCTTCTGGTAACTTTGGTTTCTTAAGGGACTGTTTGGTAGGTTCAGACTTTCCTCCTTGAGAAGAACTTGTTTTCCTCAAAGAATGACACAGAAGGGGGGATCCTAGTAGAGTGGGATAGTGGAAAAATAGAGCTGGTCATTGATTCTATTTTTTAAATTTAATAATTTTACTTATTTTTATTGCATACATTCCTATTTGTCAAAGTTCAAAAATGTACAAAAGGACAGAGAGTGAAAATTCTTTCCTCTGTTCATACCTTCTAGACAGCCATTTCCTTTCCTTGCAGGCAACCAATGTTATCAGTTTGAAGAGAAGAATGAAATGCTCTAGTTAACCACTATCAAAATTGTAGATACATATATTAAATACAGATTCTTGTCTGAGGCCATGCCAAAAATGCCAGAAATCCAGATTTATTAGTATGGATTTTTCAATGACAATATTTAGTATTTAAATCCCTAGAAGTCACAAGAAACTGTATTTAGTGTTCTTTTTTGTTTGTTTAAAGATTTTATTTATTTTTAGAAAGGGGGAAGGGAGGGATAACCATCAATGTGTGGCTGCCTCTCATCTGTCCCCCAACCAGGGACCTGGCCTGTAACCCAAGTACATGCCCTGACTAGGAATTGAACTGTGACCCCTTGATTCCCAGGCTGGGGCTCAATTCGCTGAGCCACACCAGCCAGGGCTGTATTTAGTATTCTTATAGGTAAATCCTAATGATAGTCCTCTCTATTCCTGCCAACTAAAATTATAAAAAATGTATCAGGGAAATGCATTTTTATTTACTAATGTTTTAATAAGGCCATGATAATGATCTATAGAATACAGTTTCCATCCATCCGCATGCACACTGATATAAAATACTTCATTTTTTAAATTTTTTATTTTAATTGTTGTTCAAGTACAGTTTTCTGCTGTTTCCCCCATCCCAGCCCACCCAAAATACTTCATATTTATGATACTAATTGGCTGAGAAAAGGTCTGTGAACCAAGAAAAATTTCTGTACATATTAAAATAAATACACTGATCTATTAAAATTTTTACTTATTTAGAATAGACTATTTTGTCTTCCAACTCCACTTCAATATCTAAGACATATTTCTTTTTTCCTTATCTCACATAAGAATATTTAGTTAAACATACTATCATAAAAGGCTAAAGAGAAAAGCCTGCAGTAATGTCTTATAAGGCAGCATTAATTTTTATTTAGAAATTAAATGAAAAATATACAAATCTGAGTTTCTGACCATGTCACTACATTTCATATAATAATCTCATCTTAGTTTATTGTGGATGACTATTTAGAAAATATATTCAAAATGTTGGTGATTATAAACTATGCACAATTGTTTATAGACTGAAGGACTTTCTCAGTCTAACTACTAGAATTTTTAAACCAATTAGTCATGTTGTCTGAAATACAAGATTCTTCATAATTTGATCTTATAGCCCAAATTAACAAGTTCATGCAATCTCCACAACAGAAACTTTTGTCAATCATCTGATATCTAAATATCTATTCATCAATAAGTATATCACCCCTGGCTGGTGTAGCTCAGTGGATTGAGCACTGACCTGTGAACCAAAGGGTCACAGTTCCATTCCCAGTCAGGGCACATGCCTGAGTTGCCCCCCTAATTGGGGGCATGAGGGGGGAAACCACACACTGATATTTCTCTCCCTCTCTTTCTCCTTCCCTTCCCCTCTAAAAATAAATAAAATCTTTTAAAAAATAAGTATACTACTAATTAGTAAAGCAAGCAAGAAAGATTGTTTACTAAGTCATCATAGCTCAGTAACAATACAGATATACAGAAAGGAGAATTTTAACAATCACATATTAGATTCTAAATGTGGACAGACTTTACATCCACTTTGGCTAATGAGTTGTCTCTGCATTTGGTTACTAATTAAGTACGTTTGATTGTAATTAAATAACTCAGAGGCCTAAAAATCAGCAAATATTTAATAGATACAAGTAGCCACCTGATATTCTGTGCTCAGCCTCAACACAATAAAATCAACACTTCACTTTAGGTTTGGTTGTTGTTGCAAAAAAAATCTCTTTATTGAAAGCATGAAATGGTAATCAGTGTAAAAAGAAATTTGGGTATGTTCCAAATCTGTAAAAATTCCTAAGCATTTAAGCAAAATCCAAAAAATAGCAAAAATCCAAAAAATAGCACAAAATATATCCCTGGCTACCAAGTATAATGTAGACAGCAGTTGAGGCTAAAAATGTTATCACTTAAATGATACAAATACACTAACTACAATAAAAGTAACAGATGTGCTAGATGCCTACTATGTGCCAGGCACTGTGCTAGCAGCTGAAAAGATGACGCCTTACCTAAGCCTCTCGATAATCTAATGAGGCAGATATATAACTGTCTTTATTTTTACAGTAATTCTATTCGGTATAAACAAAATCATTTTCTGAAAAAGTGACATTACGTAGATGTGGTAAAGACTGCTGCATATCCCAAACAGCCACTTTTCCCTTCTCCCATTTAGTTCTAGGACCCCTATTCATCCCCCTTGCTATTAACCTGACCACACATTTAGGTCACACTTTCTAGCCTCCCCTACAGGCAAGCAGCCATGTGTTCAAGCGTGACCACTAGAATGAGACTGAAAGTCATGTGTGCAAATTTTAGGTTGCCTCAATTTGGCAATAAGCTGACTGTCCTGGATTTCTTTTCACTCCGTTGAGTTGCAATGAGGACATAACCGTGACCCAGCTTTGGCTACATAGAAGAGGACAAAACCCATTCAGGGTGATACTTAAAATATTTAACAACAATATGATATAGACACTGCCCATCACAACATATGCCCAATCAATCAGAAGATACACAGCTTTTAAGTAACTAGCAAAACTCTACTAGTGCATATTGGCTGACTGTTGGCACCATCCTACAAAAATGGTGGAGCAAAAAGATGAAAGGAACTTAGATCTATGGATGACCTGTAAAAGCAGCTTGGCCCTTTCTTAAACACAATGGAGAGCAAAAAACTTGCAGACTGAGGGCACGAGAGTCACACACAGGTTCCAATGCCAACCGCACCACTCAAGAATAATGTGAACCTGAGAATGTTACTGTATTTCATTGAATCTGCTTTCCCATTTGTAAAATGGGGTATTTCTACATACTGCGAAGGGTAGTTCAGAGAAATGAAGCAATGTGTATGTCTATATGTGCACACATTCAGTGTATTACTATCTTGAGTCTAACTGTAGGACACAGAAGTCAATATGCATGAAGTTTTTGGTAAAGAACAGGAACATGAGTGTATACCGGGGGAAGAGAGAAGAGTAGCAAAGCTTGAGAAGCTGGTCTATCAGTCTGGTTTGGGCACTTCTGAAGGAACTTTACAGAAAGAAGGGCTAGAAGGAAAAGCTGAAAGAGCAGTTTTCTCAAGGGACTCCTGAGACCCTGGGAGCATAAAGAGCTATTTCTGTAGTGAGGTAACAGTGTGACAGAACAGGAAAGACAATTCCTCTCATTTCGGCAGAGTACCACAGTATCAGACAGGGCACACTGTGCTCCATGGCATCTGTAAGCTTTACATTTTTGGAAACAAACCCCTGCACAGCAGCCTGGCTGGGATGGTGGCAGTGAGGCACGTGCAAGTGGCTTCAAGGGGGGACAAGGAGAAAGAAGGGTCTCTCAGATGGTAAGGAGTAGCAGAGAGGAGAAGGTAAGACCAAGAGTCACACACCTATGAATTCTGCCTCTCAAATAGCAGGTACTAAGCAACAATAACTATATTAATGTTAGTATTACATTTTGGCCATCAGCAAACTTCTGACCTCCTCAACTGCTTGAGAAATAGCTGACGAACTTCAAACAAAACCTATCTTTTGAGGAAAAAAAATCACCATTATAAAGTCAATTTTGTCTTCTTCAAGGTGTGGTTTGGTCTTACTCAAAGTCTACTTAGAATTGTGTTAAAAATACATTACTAATAGATGATCTACTAATAGAAGAAATCATAAAAGCAAAGGAAAAAAAGAGTTAAGCATCATTAAAAAACAAAGAAAAAGAAACAACTTTGTAGAACTTCTGTTTCTAGAAATTTGATAAATTATTACAGATGCCAAAACTGTATGGCTCTAAAACACTTTAAAAAGTCAAAAAATACACAAAATACTTCTAAATCAGAGGAAGAACATTTAACAAAGTGAATAACAATAATAAAAAAAAAGAAGTCCAGTGAGGGAAACACACACAAACCGTTACATATTCTGTGCTTTTTTTCTTATCTAGAGCTTGGAGGATAGAGGCAGGGAGGGGACTCTTGAGCCTGAGCAAAACGAAAATATTAGAGGCCAGGACTCAAGGACGCTCCTGCTTTGAGAAAAGAAGGTGAGTCAGGAGATTTTTAAACGTGCTCAGAAACAACCAGGGGGATTTTGCTAAAATGTAGACTCTGAGTGTGTCTGGGTGGAACCTGAGATGTTGCGTTTTAACAAGCTCCCCGGTGCTGATCATGCTGCTGGTCCACAGAGCAGGAGCGAAGAGAAAACCTCCAGTTAATGAGGAAAACAGTTACTGAAGGAAAAATGCCCAACTCAATGTTGGTGCTGAGTGGAGATGTAGGACAAAACCATCTTCATATTTCGAAGGCACTGGCTGACCACACCTGTGTTTATGCTGGATTACACATTAGCTGCATGGCCTGAAAACGCCCAAGAGGAGCACCTCACTGCAAAGTAAACCCAAGTCTAAAGTTGAAGTGCTCCCAGACATGTGGCAAAGGCAGGACCAAATCCTCTGAGGAGAAATACTTTCTCAACACGTTTCTCAAGCAAGGGTCACAGAATCCCAGGAAAACATGCAAGATAACCAGCCAGCACAAACGAGAGTTAGCAGAATCATCAAACAAGAGAACAGGACCAGACCATGAAGAGTTTAAATACTGAAATCCAAAAACCAGAATGTAAACTACTTAATGTGCTTCAGGACATAAAAAAAAGCCAAAAAGAAGAAATAAGTATAGGACTATGAAAAATGACTAGGCTGACTTTTTAAAAACACAGAATTTAGAAATATAATGATTTAAATTTAAAGTGCAGTTTAAAGGGCTAAATAA